TTACTTACACTGTTTTATTTACCGGTTAAATGGTAACCCCCTCCTCAACCTATATTATTTACCTGTTTTAGTTAATGTCATGCATGGTTCATCAATATTGTTCTTTGTTGTCAGACCCGGATGCTCCAGTAATAATCTGCAACGACGTGGATGCCGTTGACTGTGATCTCGATGGTGAATTTGTCGACTATGACGTCACTGCAGAGAGTGCTTTGGGAGTACCATTAACACCAGTATGTACCCCTCCAGAAGACACAACCGTATTCCTCGTTGGGCCACCCACCTTGGTGTCTTGTTCCGCTACCGATGATAATGGGAAAATATCCAAATGTAACTTTTTTGTTGACGTTCAGACAGGTAAATATCAGTACATTTTGTACTTATAATGTCGTCTACTTCAAAACCTCTCTCAGGGGGCGACACCAACCAAATAGGTTTGTTTAGTGTTCTGTAGCAATATGGTCAATATTCACAATCACTAAATAAATAAATATTTTTCACGCACGTTTACAGATAATGTAGACCCCGAATTCACAGAGCCACTAACGGTACAGGCTGCTTCGTCAGATACTTGTGCCGGGGCTATAGTAACTTACACATTACCGTCTGCGAGCGATGACTGTGGAACACCGACTGTAGAATGTGGACCAGTCTCTGGGTCACTTCTTCCATGTGGTGGAACAACGATCACCTGTATTGCAACAGATATAAACGACAATACGAACATATTGGAGGGTCTAGCCGGCGTAAACTGCAGTATGTACTTCAAATATATATATAGTATATTCTTGTTAAATCTAGGCTGTTTAAAGTGTCTATACGTTGTAATAACATCGTGATATTAGCCGTAATTTTTCTTATTTATATATTTGGCTTTGCTCCAGATGTTCCAGGGCCAGATATCCAATGTCCGGCAAATATCATAGTGACAGATGAAGATAAGGACCTCGCCGAAACTGTGGAATTCGAGGCAGTTGCAACTGGGACATGTAGTACTCCAACAATTTCATGTACATACGAAAGTCCAAATGACTTTTCATGCGGGCCTACGGTCGTCACATGTACAGCTACTGATGAAGTGGCTGCGCTTTCAGCAGAGTGCTCTTTCAGCGTGTTCGTTATTTGCGGTAGGAAATATTAAATATTCCCACACAGCGAATGTCAACGATCAACGATGCATTGTAATAGGCTAATCTCCTCGACCAATCAGAATGCTTTACCGACAGTATTATATGATTATATCACTCTTGCCTGATTATTTATCTATAGCTCCATACCTTTTTTTTCATGCATATTAGTAACGCCAACTGTTTTATTCTCATACATATGTACATTTGTAAATCGAAAAGTGTTTTTTTCATATGTATTTTTGAAAAAAGTCTGTTTCGAGGTTTTTAATTGTTGAACTATTGCTTTATTCTAGTTGTGCTGATTTTAGGTTGCTATGTCAACATTGATTCAACATCAAATAATGACGTCGATCTGGTGTCAGCAAATCAACGTTGATTCTATGTTGGGTAGTCGGTTTGTATGTGGTTGTTCGACGTCATAGTGTGATTTCAACCAGTATCTAACCTAGATCCAACCATGGAGCTCATGATCCAATGTACACACTAGGAATAAGTTTTAGCGGTTCTAAAATACGGAGTAATATGTAATGATTGTTCTGTTTTATTACCACAGACAATGGTCCGCCGATATTGTCATGTCCACCAATCAGCGTCATAGCCTGCGATCAAGAAGGAGTACCCGTTGCCTACAGTGTTGAAGCATTCGATGATGATGGATCCACTCTTGACTACACCTGCGATATTGCAGATGGCTCCGTGTTTCTTCCCGGGGCATACGTTGTAACTTGCTCAACAACCGATCCCGCTGGTAACAGTGCAGCTTGCAATTTCACAGTTGATATCATCCCAGGTGTGATATTTTTGTTTGCTGGTTTTACAATTCAATCAATCATTTGATTATGTAAGAATATTTAAACGTCAAACAAATTAATCTTTTAACAGATAATCAGCCCCCAGTGTTCATCAATGTTCTTAACATAACCAGTGATGTGTCTCCGACGTGCGAAGATAAAGCAGTCACGTACGATATCCCGACTGCGATAGACAACTGTGGGGCAGTCACTGTCGATTGTAACCCGGCGTCTGGAAGTGCATTCTCGTGTGGTGACACATTGATAACGTGTACTGCAACCGACACGCAGAGCAATGAACTAACCATCAGCGGTGTAGTCAACCTCGTATGTCCAGGTAAACCGTGTTCTTGGACACACTGATTTATATATTTAATTTAATACTACTAAATATGATTTTAAGATAGATAAGAATGACATAGGTAAGTTATATCTCGTAACTAAGTCTCCTAACATCAAACTATTACAAATCCAGTATGCTTACAAGGTGTATCAATTATAGTACCAATACGTGTGTATATTTCATTTACCAGATACCCTCCCTCCCGTGCTGACATGCAATTCAACTGTGATAGTCTATGATGAGGATGATGATGGCATCGAACTAGTTACCTACTTTGCATCTGCCACCGATAATTGTGGAGAGGCCACAGTCACTTGCGTGAGAGAGAATCCAGATGAGTTTAGTTGCGGATCGACAATTGTCGCGTGCACTGCAGTTGATTTGGCAGGTTTTACAGTTAGCTGTGACATTGAAGTCATTGTGGTTTGCGGTGAGTATTGAGTTTATCCACACCAGGCTATATAAAATTGTTATGAACAGAATGCTAAAACCAGTAATATATGGATGAGTTTGAATACTTCTCTATTAGTATTTCAGTAGTGGTTCTTACAAAAATAGGGAGTTTCACTAGGACATTTAATGAACGAGCATTTTGCGATTTGTTTTATACCCTCCAAGGAAAGATTATCTTAACGTGCGATGTTTCTTTCCGACGATACAAATATATATTAACTCTTCTGCAAATGTCATACAGTTCTGAACACAAACACTTCAGTTTGGGTTTGCTTCATTTTCTACCAACTGAATTTCATAGTACCTAAAACTATGCATTAGAATGTTAAACAATTCGAAATGTTTAGGTATTAAATAATTTCACGTGATAAACGTGTGTGTGAAACTGCGTTACGTGTATCCCCTATGTAGTCACGTGTCATGATCGTTGACTTATCTGCGTTATCGTTTTCTTGAACACATACAGATACCACTCGTCCAAACATTACATGTGATCATATACTAACTGTTGACTGCGACAAAGATGGCAATGAGGTGATACAATACGATGTATCGGGTGTGGATGATGACGGAACGCCCATAACACCTGTGTGTAATCCACCGAGTGGATCCGTTTTCACCGTGGCTGAATCGCCAAAGGAAGTCATCTGCACAGTAACTGATGATTCAGACAACGAACAAACATGTAGATTTAATGTCGAAGTGGTGCCAGGTATGTACGAAATGATTTATAGATACTAGAATGGAAAATGTGTGTTGGTAGATAATTCATTAACTCCGATCAGGAAGAATAATACGTGGACTAAACTCAAACGAGTATGATAAAATCTTTATTGTGTCACTGTTATATTTATATTTATAGTGTTTATTGGACGATACCAGCTAATGAAACCCCTTTTCTAATAAGTGACGACGCGTGACGTTGATAGGTGTAAACAATGTCGTTCAAATATACCCTGTCGCGCTAGTCCTTGTAAGCATTTATAATATTATAACAAATCTCTATACAACCGTATCATTGACAGACATTCACATTTTACCATACATAATTTATGGTTGACGGTATAGTGTTGATTGAATCATAACATTAAATAATAATGCTTGCCTTTCATTATAGAAAAAAAATATTTGCTTGCTGGTCAAGACATCTGTCGAGCAATAGTGTCTTCTGTATTAAGTGTTTGGCCGTAAGTCGTCTTAGATTCGATGTGTGTCTCTCAGCTCCGTCCTTTAAATGTGTTGTTTTTTTCAGATGCATTCGATCCATTTATCGTTGTTGAAGACTATGAAACTGATACGACTCAATGTGGAGGGATTGAAGTAGACTACCCTATTCCAGTTGTAGAAGATACCTGTGAATCTACCGTTGTATGTGTTCCCGAAACTGGCAGCCATTTTGATTGCGGGTCGACAACAGTCACGTGCACAGCTACTGACAATAATGATAATGTCGACATAAAATATTTCGAAGTTCTCGTTAATTGTTTGGGTAATGATTATTTTTAACACATTGAATTAGTCATTTCGACTTAACGCTGCAAATCTCATACTAGTGATATGTATAATAAACCAAGCCAACTAATATGTAATTTTAATTTATTTTGTTTTCATTTATTTTCAAGGTGACGATGCACCAGTGATAACTGGTGTAGGAGATATTACAGAAGATATATGCATTGGGAGCAGTTTTGATGTGAATTTTGATGTCACCGCCATGGACGACTGTGATGGAGCTCTTACACCGACGTGCAATCCTCCGTCAGGCCATTCCTTTACTTGTCAATCAACTGAAGTAACCTGTTCTGTAACCGACAGTGCTGGAAATGTTGCCTCCATTGACTTCCTAGTTACAATAAATTGCGGTAAGTTTGCGTTTTACCTGAGTTTGTTAGCAATGTTCGCTTTCTAGTATATATTGAATGTCATTGTGCATGTATAACCAATGTATTAAGCAGATTTTTTTTTTTTTTTTTTTTTGATTTTTAGATGAGGAACCTCCCACATTCTCTCCCGTGCAAGATGTCATTGTTGACCCAGCACACTGTAGTGGCTCGTATGGTCCATTTGACGAGGTAGAGGCATTTGATAACTGTGAAGTAGATACATTTTCATGCAGTCACCAGCCAAGCGACCTTTTTACTTGTGGCACAACTACCGTTAGCTGTTTTGCCAACGATGTTTCTGGAAACTCCGCGGTGGTCTCATTTGATGTAACACTAGTTTGTGACGGTGAGATATTGTTTGTTCTGTACATCAATTGCCCTAAATAATGTTAAATTGTACAGTTCGATCAATCGAATGAGTGAGTGTGTATGTGAATGAATGAATCATATTCTTGTATTTGCAGACAGTGAACCCCCAACAGTTAATGTTCCCGAAGACATTACTAAAGAGAGTTGTACTTCAACCGGTCTTTCAGTCGACTTCTCTGCATCGGCTATTGATGATTGTGATGGGGACGTCCCACTGCAGTGTACTAAGGACCCAGGAGACCACTTCGACTGTGGTTTAACCACTGTCGTGTGTACTGCCGTAGATAGTTCAGGAAACTCGTACTCACAAAGCTTTATTGTAACCGTTATATGTGGTGAGTTCATATTATCATTATTACAGAAAAATCGTTAAGAGGTGTGTGTATCCATTAGATCCCTCTCACTATTGTCTGCCTTTATTATTTCAGACCAAGGGCCTCCAGTTCTTGGACCCTGCTCCGGTGACATCGTAACTCCAAGAGACTGTGAAGGCGATGGTGAGACCGCCAACTTTGAGATTCCCACGGCCACCGATGGTTGTGATGTCACAGTAACTTGCGATTATGAACCAAATGAGTATAAATTCCCATGCGGGGCACCAACAACTGTCACGTGCACAGCTCTAGATGAAGCCGGCACGATAAGTTCGTGCACATTTACCGTCACTGTTCCTTGTGGTAAGAAGTTGAAATGCACGCAATGATAACTTGTCTTTGATAAAGATAACTTATTTCGTAATTCAAAACATAGTACCATCTGTGAATCATTATTTCACATGTATATGTCTTTTATTTTTAGATAACACCGATCCAGATATACTTTGTCCAGATGATGTCATCGTCATTGATTGTGAGTCTGATGGACAGGATGTATGCTGGCAGTCTCCAGTAGTGAGCGACGACTGTGGTGTTGACAAAATTGAGTATAGTGAAGATATATACAGCCCACTACTTCCAGGAGAATATACAGTGGTGGCAACAGTTTACGATCTTAGCGGTAACTCTGACAGCTGCACATTTACTGTGTCCGTAGCTGAAGGTAATTTTATCACAGTAAATATATATCTGTGTGTATTATGATAAGAAGGAAAGACATGGCAGGCATGTGAACTATGTGGGCTATGTGAATGATATGATGAAGTCTATATTTTCTATCGTGATTCCGATTTCTAATGATACACTTTGTTTCAATTTTAGACACTGAACCACCCATGATGGACTGCATACCAGGTATAACTCTTACTGACTGCGAACAAGATGGCGAAATTGCTACATGGGATATACCTGAAGCATCAGACAACTGCGGCGAAGTGACTGTCTCCTGCTCACAATCATCCGGCCTCACTGTTTATTGTGATAATCCAGTAGATGTAGAATGTACTGCGACAGATGCTGCTGGACTCACATCCACTCAAACGTTCACTATAAATGTAATCTGCGGTGGGTATCACATAACATATCCATATCTTTGTATGAACCAGCGACAAACTCTTTATTAAAGCTGTTTACAGACAGAAAAAATGCAAGCAGTTATATGCACCACTTTATATCATGGATGTCCCATGTCATCTCTCGCAATTTGAGTCACAGTACTGCATGCTTACAATTGAACAGAAATAACCTCACGCCAATTAAAAGTTGGCATAGTAACCTGTGCTATTACATGTGTAGGAATAATACCCCCCCTTTTTTTACAGATACAAATCCACCAGTATTTGATACCGGGTGTGACGACTGCGTAATTGTCGATGCGGGCACGGATTTTGAAACATCCGTAGATTTTGTCAAACCAACAGCACATGACCGGGAATGCAGCGCAACGGTAACCTGTACCTATGAGCCAGGTGACGTATTCCCCTGTGGTTCGACAGAAGTCACGTGCACAGCCGAAGATGAAAGTGGTAATAGCGTGTCGTGCTCCTTCTCTGTGTTAGTTATATGCGGTATGTAACTATCAACCATTCTCGTGTAATGTTCAGAGACTAATAGCTTATTCATTTTATTTTCTTCCAAATAGGCATGTATTATGATGTATATGACGAACATGAGAATGTACATTGGCATCAGATATATAGTAGCGGTACCACAAATTACGATTACCAGCAGTAGACCATCTTTGATCCAATCATAAAACGAATCATGCACATGTGTCCCAACATGTCAGGTGGCCATCTTTAATCAAATCATGACATATGTGCTAAATATCAATAAAAATAGTAAATAGGTGAAAGAGATTGAGTAGGTCTGATTAAGAAACAAACTGACATGGATATGTATGCCAAAATGTATGTGCCATTTATAAATGAAAACGTTGGGATTATGGTAAGATGACCAAAAATTAAATATGACCGCCAGTCAGCCATCTTTGATCCGATTGTAAATTGGTATGGACATTAATTCTAACATTTATAATGTATGTACCAAATTTGAATGAAAAGGCATGTGCACTACATTCTCAAAAAAAACAAGATGGCTGCCTGTCGACCATCTTTGATCCGATCACGAAACGATTCGTCATCCACAGGGATCTTAATATGTGTAATGTATGTACCAATTTTGAACCTAAAATGGCTGCTAGTCGACCATCTTGGGTTGAATTACTAAACCATTGCATGCGTATATGTCCCACAAAAAGTACTAGGCCCATGAAACAAATGAACGGATTCGGTTTAGCTTTCGGCTTTGAAGTGTGACGACAGACGGATAGTTGGGGACTGAAGTCTCCATTTCGAACTCGTTTCGACCGGGGCGAATAATGTTGATTTAATATATTATTAAATTATTCGTACTATATTTTAGAATGTGTCTGCCAGGCTACCGGTGATCCGCATCACAACACTTTCGATGGAAAAGCTTTTAACTTTCAAGGTACATGTACATATACACTAGTCGAATACTTACAAGGGTTCCGCATCGATGCCAGATATGCATTACGAAATGCAAGACGTCGAGTGTCTGTTGTGAGAAGTGTTACCATTTATTTGCCTGGACATGTCATTGTTATGTTAGGAAACAGACAAATAACGGTAAGACAATAATAACATGATGTCAATGATTGCTACTCGTTTCTTCATCACCCGATTTCAACATCGACTTGTTGCCGATAACAATATGTGGAACTGTGGAGCATCGCATTAAAAGTTTGTGAATATTCCTTTTGTAGATTGATGGGGAGTCAGTATCTCGACCATACTCACTTGGGCACTGCTCCATTGATAGAGCTGGTGTTTTCACATGCCCGGGTTTGTTCTGGGTGAGATACAGGGGCATTAACGCTTTCATCGGAATAGACTATTCGCTTAAGGGTACTACTAGAGGATTATGTGGCGACTGCGATGGCGATATAACCAATGATTTCCGTATGCCAAATGGTGTAATTACTACTAACAGAGTGGAGTTCGGTAACAGCTGGAAGTCAGAGTATGACGACGCGTGAGTGGATATTTGTATTATTATACATATTATATATATTATTATAAGTCTGTATTATTAGTTCGCACTATTCTTTGTGATGTTGCTGATGATAATGATTGTTATTTTTTACTAGATGCCCCGATGAGGTAGATGATGCCGATTGTCCGGATACAGGCGACGACCTAGTCTTGCACCAGGCTAAATGCGATTTCTTGATCGATCCCAATGGCGTGTTTAGTGAATGTATTCCGGTTATAGACCCGTCATTTTATTTCGATTCATGTTGGTATGACGTGTGCATAACCGAGGACGACAATATAATTTGTGATTACCTTCAGCTATACTACGAAGACTGTCGAGACTCTGGTATCGATGTCGACATTTCCGAATTCAGAGATATGTCAACCGGTTTATGTCGTAAGTTAATATACAATTTCGAAATGTACATTAATACCTATATACAATATAAATCTTAGTGACGTCTTAACATCTTTTTTGGGGGTGCTAATAAAAAATCTTAACCTGCATTTTATTAAATCTTTTTTTTTTTGCACGTAGCTTTGACATGTCCAGCTAACAGCCATTACAGTACTTGTGTATGTGAACAGTCGTGCGGAAGTTTTGAGTATTGTATACCTGCGTATTGCATAGACGGTTGCCAATGTGATGATGGATACGTACGAGAGGGCCCTGACTGCATACCTGAGACTGAATGTGGATGTACAGTACTTGGGGAATACCACCCAGTAAGTGCATACGTTTCTGTAACAAATTTGCGTGGAAGAGAAGGGGAAAACAACAAGGTTCTCAAATCTTGCATGGTCTTGAATTCACAAAATATTTTCTTATCGTTTTAATCATTCTCATGGGTTCATTTTTGTGAATACTCAAATCTCATCTGTGATACTGTGGGGATTGTATAAATAAGTCTAACAAAATAAAAAACAGACAATGTACGTTATAATGCTAAACCGATAAGGTCACAAATTAGATTTTTTGTTTCTCACAATAGCTTGGCGACACATGGACCAACGACGACTGTTCAGTTGTTTGTGTTTGTCGCGAAGATGGCGTTGAGTGCCTATTCAATGAATGTGAGGAACTGGAATTTTGCGGTGTTGATGAGGGTCAACTGGGATGCCATTGTAGATATGGTCTTGATGAGAACGGCGAATGCAAGGGTAAGATGATTTGTCGAATGGCATGTTCAAATTATTTAATTATAGCTATAGGTAATGTATTATGTATAATTGGTGATCGCTATTAAATCGTTCATTTTGATTGTTTTAATATATTGATAATTTATCATTAATAATCTGTTTTTCCTTTCTTTCAAATCTCTGTATATCAGAGCCATGCGACGGTAAGTGGCTTTCCTGTTATTTTATGGACACAAAATAATGATATACATAAACCATTAAGTTGTTTTACATAAATTTGTCTACAATCATTTACACAACAATATCACGTCTTCGAATTGTCACTAGGTTTTAATTACTACAGCACGTGCCTGTTTTTTTGTTTTTTTTTGCAGAGTTGCCACCGGATATAACGTGTCCATATGATATGATAGAAATTGATTTTGATAATGATGGCACTGCGACTGTTACTGTTATATTGCCTACCGCCACCGATGAAAACGATGTATTAGTAACATGTGACATTATGGGCACTGTTGAGTTAGATGTTGGAGTTACAACTATCACCTGTGTCGCCGTTGACTCTTATCTCAACAGCGCTACATGTAGCTATACTGTCAAAGTTGGTGAGCAAAAATACGTAATTCATTTCTTTCTCCCTTTTATTTTGCTGACAATTTTACTTTATATACTAAGGTATAGATGCATGTTCGTGGGATTGATTGGACAGTTCTCGTATCACATGATAATGATTAAATCGTGTTTAAAATGTTCCACTGGTGTAGAGATCCACAATAGCAACAATGTCAATCCAATACCGAGTAAATAAAAAAAGGCTACAACAGTTAGAGCTGCGAGTGTCCACAAATCCATGCCTTGAATAATCTTAGAAAATGTTCTTTTATTAAAATTGTGAAATATCGGCTTTTGTGACATCGGAATTGTGTCGTTGCAATAACAAAATTATAATTGTTATAATTGGCATACAATCATAAATCTTGCATCTTTAATACAATTATATATTCTTCATTTTTTCTATCATATCATTCCTCGCAAATGTCTAGACATCAATTTCTTTTACTTGTTACCCACTCGCTTGAAAACTATGATTAATATATCCACTGTCTAATTACTTATCCTAACATTATTGCTCTTCTTTTTTTCAGTGAAGGGAATACATGAGGTGCAATTACCATGTACCAAATATCTGTTCTACTTAAAGAATAAGTCTCAACACTTTGCCAAACATTTCTGTGAATCGGAGATGTCTCATCTTGCGACGATCCCTAACAGAGCAGTCAACAATCTTTTGGTGGACTACATTGAATCAGACAGCAGTCTTCGAGATTTCTGCTACTGGTTTGGCGCTGTTAATGTTGACGATGACGAATACTGGACGTACACTCACGAGGACAGATCAGTTTGTTACAACAATTGGGGACCTGGTCAACCGAACCAATACAATGAACGAGACTGCGGACTCTTCTGGTAAATTATTATTTCTTCGTGTATGATTGATTGTTTTTTGCTATTTAAAATAATAATAAATATTCTATATGTGTAGGTTGCCATCTAATAATATTATTCAATTTGTCTTTTATTTAGGTCTGGTACTTCGAGTGAGATGCGAATGTGGAAGACCCAGAAATGTGCGTATGAAAACGCGTTTATCTGTGAAAAACCATGACGGGTGAGATTTATTTTCAATCTAATGATTTGTTCTTAAATTGTCTACAACTATTCCAAATCTCAATATGGGTTTATTTATCTATTTCTTGAACACGGCTCCCCACAACTTACTGTTTCCCCTATGTTTCTTATTACAGGTGACATGGAAGAAGCTTTTTGAAATTGTAGACAGTGTACACAGAATTAATCGTATAGAATACTACTGAGTTGTAATTTTTTTTTTAGAATTAGATTAAACTGATTTTGAAACCTGAGAATTCTATCTACTGTTTCATTTTGCGAATTTGTAGTTATGTTAATGCGTGGAACATATATGATGTGGGGCATACTAATCAGATTATGTAATCGCTGTCAATGATGACAAAGTTCCCGCCAAATAATAATATATTTATCAACACATAATGTAGCACTCACCAGAATTAACGCCTAATCAAGATTCTACAAAATTAATCTAACAATTAAATTTATGTTGGCAACTACATACCAGAAATGCAATATACGCCCTCTCATATATACTAGTAGTTTCTAATCCTGCCACTTTTGATGTGACTAGAAACACGTTATCTGCATAGGGAACTTCCAAGAAAATCTTTATCAGTAATAGACAGATAGATGCGGTGGGATTGCAGACTTATTAAGCATTGCTGCACAGTAATATTGGAGGATCTTGGTTAAAGGCAGATACAAACATATTCATTTTGCCACCCCCCCTGCATATCCCAGGTAACACCGAAACCAAATCTAAACAGCTCCGTTACAGTATATGCCCAGCACGTGTAACTCTTTTTTCTGCCATTTCAAATTGGTAATTATAATATACAACATTTAATATACGACGTCTTGTCAAGATCCAACTAACAATACGAAACATCCTTGGGGTTCTACCAAATTGACCAAGTGCAGTGGTGTTACAGGAATTATAACCAAAATTTAGTATATATTTTTCAAGAAGAGATACTAGTGTAGACTTTTCAACATGGAATCCGCAAATTTCACAACTATAATTCATTATTGGTACGATTTTGACGTCAAAAATCTTCAGAGCAATGTTAATTTTATATTCTTAAAATCTTTTTTTTTTTGCACTATGCATCACTTCACTCACACCACTTGTCAGAGCATGCAGAGCGCGTGTCAACAAACCCGATAATGAAAATGTTATACCTAAATAATTAAAATATGAGACGACTTCTACCCTTACCCCGTCAATATACCAATATACCAATCTATTTCTAAACACTATAATTTCAGACTCGTTGGCATTGACTTGAAGCTTTTATTTTTGACAGTAAACGCATAATTAATCCAACTTACTTTGCAACCCGGATAAATAATCGGCACAAAGCAGATAAAGTCATTTCAACATTCCTACATATACCTCGTTGTAAAACCCACTTTCCAGTATGTCGCCTATAACATCAACGGAAAGATTGAATAAAAGAGGGGACAATGTGGAGCCTTGTTGTACACCATAAATACAATTAAAAAAGACTGTTATACCAGCAGGTGACTTTACATTGCTATACATTGATTTTATAACTGTTAATACTTTGCAATTCATAATAAGTGTGATAAGTTTATAAAACATCACGTTGTGTAAATCTTATCAAATGCTTTTTCGAAATCAATAAAGGCACAAAACAACCGGGTTTCGTGCTTCAAAATATAAACGTTACCAACTATGCTTCGGCAATGGGACAATATACATAAGTCAAATTTGATAACAGAATGGAACATTTTGCCAATAATAGGAATGTCACAAGGTAAATCTTACGGCGAGGTTCTATGGTGTGCTAGAATTGCAAACGTAATACAGAAATACAACAACCAAAATAAAGTACAGGCACTGATCTTGTGGTTGGGTTCTTTACTCCAATATACACATTATAAAAATGTATAGGTATATTGGAATTGATTCTAGGAGAGAACACGCACACCTGTAACAAACATACACGCACTTCAAGAAAGATCTCAAATAATATTGGTAATACACATCGTAATATGTGACCATAAATGATTACAGTTACAATTACAAGAAGCCGTACATATACACGAATTGGTGACGTCACAAAATACATGCGCTTTAATCAGGGTCGTTTGTTCGGTATATATTATACACATTAGTATATATAAATTACAATAAAGATACTAAAGACATTGTAAGTGCAACAGATCACATGACAATATAATGATAATAAAGGTAACAAATCCTAGCTTAACAGTTAAACAGAACAATCATATAGTCAGTCAGGTCACGCCGCCAAGGGTCACGCACTTCGACGCAACATTATACTCAATATATGTACCAAGTTTGAAAATAATTGTCATGGCCGAGACTCAAAATCGGAATGGCAGAAGTCTTTGATTTTAATGCATTTCTAACATTAAAATGGCAGCTATTCGGCCATCTTCAGTCTGTTACTCAAGCAAATATATGAACACATAATATTTGAAAATACAATTATTTGATCGTTCAACACAAAAGAAACGAAAAGAACGCATCCCAATTAGAAATCGAGAGGACGGCAGCGAAAAGAAAGTTAGGACTTATTTGGGTGAATTTTAAAGCGATATAGTTGACAACAACAATCGTAGTGACCATAAAAGAAAGTTTTATGATTTACCCATGTCCTCAAAACTATTTGTGTCTGCCAATTATCATTCTAGTGTCAAATAGTCTCGCCATTGTCGTCGAGTGACTGACCAACAGTTCAACAGACCATAACCCAAGTCCAATTGAACAGCTCGTTTGTGCCCAGTCTCCACGCCAGCCACGCCTCAAATTATTATCTGGAGAGCTCCAGGAAGATTTAAGACACCATTCCAATGATGCAAACTATATCTTCGTCGAAATGTGCTACGTAAATACAAAACAAACTCCGAGGAGAAATAAAACGTAGAGGTCTGCCATATTGGACACTTCTGACGTAATAAAGTAGAACGCTTTAGGCCGGCTTAAATGATGACGTTTTGACTGTGTGAAAGCGAACGTTTAATCTTATTTATTCAAGAAACAAAGCAAAAAACATTCGGCCGGCCTTAGACAAGATAAATGTGGAAAAGGATTGAATATCTAGATTAAATAACACATGATGCACAATCTTTTCAAAGTGAGTATAAATGTCGTGAAACAAAACTATAATATAACAATTGAAAATAAAATACTAGCCAGATTTGAAAAAGGTGGAAAAACTACACTTTCTTATTTATCCTCATAATGTTACGTGATACGTCTAACAATAGTTTTATTTCAGCCAAATTATAACCATCTCTTGCAAATTGCACTTGTTAATTACACCAAAATTGATCTTTGTTGATATTCAATAGTGATTGGTAATATTCTCAAATTTGAAGATGACAATTTCAAGTGAACTTCAACCAATATCTTAACAAATATACATAGAACACGAACAAAAATCACAAACTGGTTAATATAATAACAAAGTTTGAAAGTAATTGGATAATAACTGTTCGGGTTATTTGTGACCACAATAAAGTTTGACGACGGAGTCCATGACAACTACAGCAATATTAAGGAGGAAAGACAGACAACAATCCTCCAGAACAAAACTAACATGCACACAATGTATAAAAGTTACAATTGCTATTATGAACTTGAAATTGTTTTTTGTTTGTTATATTATTTCTTTCTGAAAACATACTTCTCCATTTTCGATTTTACTACTACTATATAATCAATTCAATCTAGCTAATATATAATTCCTTTATAGTCATGCACTTGAATTGAGCACCAGTGAGTGCTATGAACTTGAAGCACAAATCCTGGTTTCGTACACTTAACCCATACATTATTCATTAGGTTTAATACACATTTCATATAAGGAATCATAAATAGGGATAGCTGCTTCTATGCTCGCTCGTAATGAATCTGGTAACACTGACAAATCGACATTGTGTTCCTCTCTGGGAATGAAACCCTGACTTTGCTTGACATTTGAGTAAGCTATTTTTAAAGCACCATTCCAAACAGGGTCCCAGTGATCAGTGTTGTTTTGTTTCCAGTGCAGCATCGAGACATTGAACTCAATGCCAACCTTCTCACAGACAGTTGGCAGAATCTTCTCAGGATACCGTGAGAGATCGTGGGCATCAATAACAACAGGATCATGGCAATTTGTTTTGGTTAAATAATTAAATATGTTGTGAAGTTCTTTCAGACCGCCACAGTAAGGCACTTCATCAGACACTCCACCAGACACATCGAGTACCATTTTTCTATAGCTGGGAATGCTGTATCGAGGATCACGGACAAGAAAAATAGGCGTATAACCCATTGGGTATAGCTCTTTGTAGAGACAGCTTGTTTCTTTCCATACGACTATATCTTTACCTAGATTTGCATCCTCGAGCATTAGTTTGATCTCCATAAATCTAGATCTGTAACCGCGAATTTCGGCAAAAGATGTAGTCCTTCGGTTAAACCTCACCTCCACAGATCTGTAAGGTGCATGGATAATGGTTGTGTCTTGTCTATTATTGAAGCTGAATTCCAAAGCTGTTGACAATGATCTCGGGTGAGCCAATATAGCGATACGAGTATTATGGTATAGCATTCTCCTGTTAAGTAATGCCCCTGGAATGGTAAATTGTAAATATACATAAACAAGACAAAACACTCGGTTTACGAAGATTTGCACAGGTCAGGGGTGCGGGCCTCAACTCATTTTCTGGTTTTGTCATGGTTCGGTTTATGTATACTTCAAGTTGCCCATGGGGTATTGGCAAAATCATGTCACAGCGCTATTCTAAAACTCTGTTGGGTGGATTGGAGCTGACATTCAAGCATGACCTGCATTGAAACTGCTTTCTCGCGTAACCCTGGTACAATATATATGATTGTGTGTATCAATTGTCAGAAAGACGCCCTTAAATCTATCGACATTGTTATGTAAATCACAGAGTTTGTGTTACTGGAAGTAATATGTATTGAGAACGTACGTTGACACTCCTTGCGCTCTATTACGTACACACTACTACCGAGGAGATTCCTCCCAAACAATCAGGTCTTGGTGTCCGTAATTGCGGTCATAGATAGTACAACGTTTTGGGCGAATATATGACCCCAAATATGATTATTAAAGCGAGATACCTGCGAAAACACTGCAGCTACGTCATTCACTCACATATCTCATAAGATGAATCACGAGACACAGTTTTTGAACTTTGATACAGTCGAACTCGTCGCCAGTGAATGAAAGTGACCCACTTTCTTTTTCTTTAATGTCAAATACGCTTAACTATGCGTTATGCAAACTACCTGTGATTGCGAGCTGTTATCAGTTTATACTATGCTATGTAAATGAATGATTTCATCTGACTAATGTGTGATTCTTTATCATAAATAAATCACTTGTGTACAACACATAATTCGATCATTATAATAACACGATCCAGATGCCTTGTTGCACATGTTATGATACAAAACAGTTATTATAATGAATGCATTTGTTCTGTTATTTAAAAAAAAAAAAATTAAAACATTTTGGAATTACGTAGTTTTTAAGTAATTACAAGTTAATTACAAATTAATTGACGTTTTGATTAAATTTCATTTCATAATTATAAAATGTGAAAAAAAAAACACATTCCAAATGACGTAATTGAATGTATAACAATATATATTATTCATTATTTAGTACTATTTAATGATATAATAATAATTTTATTTTTTCAAAAATTAAAAATACTATTTTAACATTTTGATCGATCTTACAACGCTATAATAATTAAGTTTTCAATCAGCAGCTGTGTAGCTGTCTACATGACATAGCAACTGCGACCCACATATTGTAAACTACCTTTTTTGCTTGGAATTTATTTTCACTTTTTTGCTGAAGGATTGATTCTGTAAAAATAAAATCCAACGAATATACCCTATATTTTACATTCAACTCATAAAAAAGTTGTGAAAGTAAATTAAATAAAAATCACGCAATAAGTTTGTTTCGAGCTAAAATAAAATATTTATTCATTACATAATGTTAAACTATCTGATTAATATTAATGTCAACTATAACGTTGATATCACAATGCCATTGTGATTTATAAAAATGTATATTTATAAAAAGACCATAACTTTATTCCATTTACAGTACAGACTTTGAATAAATGTTTAGATACAATACGAGCTAAATTTTACAACCACAACAGCGTTATGAAACACGCATTCAAATACGCTTTCAAAATGGCATTCAGATACGCATTTAAAACACACAAAAAGATATATAGCATTTAATAAAATGCAATAAATAGAAAATTCAATGAATTTTAATTTTATTCAATATATATAATGTGTAGGGTAAGATTTAAAAACCCTTCTATATTTTATAGGGGATAATAACGAAATAGTAATGTCTATGAATTTTACTTTTTAAAATAGGTCTGAATTCTCATGAAAAATGCTGAATCCATCTTTTTTGTATTTTATTCCTACGTTAATTCATCTCTAAACTTAGTGATAATAATCGACAATAATGAACATTCATATTTGTATTTGATTTTAAGCTTGCTAATACATTGAAAAGAATGACATTTGATATTTACTCATTGACTGGAAAGTAAACATAATATCCCCCGTATGCATTGCGTCACCAGCAATAACATACATGTAATATTTAATACTCTTCGATCAAAATAACATGATGGTTGCTTTTCTCTTTGGTGGGCTTTCTACGCCACTCAAGAAACTCACCTTGGCCCCAATACTACTACAATAAATTATGGGGGTCATCGTTGGTAAAACAATAGCAAGTTTTGTCTGTTTTACTTATTGTAAGTATCGATCTCCATATTTGAATGTAGTGCTTGGTAACAAAGGATAACAATACAGTCTCGCTTGAGACCGGCCGCCTGAGGCCAATATCAAGAATGATCTTTCGAACAATAACAATCATTTTGTGCGATATTTCTTGATATTGGCCGAAGCCAAGGACAATTACTGTTTTACAGGTAAAACTGAGAGTCAAAACGCATACTTTTTGAGTCAAAATTACTCATCAGTAGAGAAACGGATTTGAAAGTTTCGTCCATCCCTTTTATCGTCAACCACATTGTTATTACATTAGAGGCCAATAATACACAACATTACGACAAGAAACGTGGATTGGCTATTATCAATATTTATCAATGAATCATGTGACTGCTTTTGACCAATAATATTGACTGTCTCATACTTAAGGTATAATAAAAAATGATATATCGCTTCTCACGGAATCAGCAGAATTTTGGGGCAAATGTAGAATTCATAAGTGTATCTAATTATTCTGCGAATTTCATAGCTCCATCGAAATCGACAACCCTTATTGTTACGATGACTAAATTTACATATTTGCATGTATTTAAATAATTAATAAATTGCATAGTCATGTATACAATAATTTAAAAACAGTTTTTACCACTGGTATCATTTTACTGGACGTCGAAAAATTGGTCATGAAATATTATGTGAATATTAAATAATCAATGCGACAACTCCACTATTCATCTATCAATATGCAAATTAGTGTATACCTTTGTTCTAATTCTGAAATCAAAATGATCAATCAAATTAGTACTACTCAGTGATATGATTCCTTCACTTTTTCAGATATTGTACTAAATGTAATAATATTCAAGTATATAATTCAATATTTTTAATAATTTGTGATGGAAAGTTAAGTGGATCTTTGTATAAAATGTTGTATTTAGAACATTCTATCAAAAAATGTGTTTCATCTTCCGTAAGGTTACTATCACACTGTTCAGACAATCTTTTTATGATTGGTCTTTTGGGACGTATATATGTCTTTTTCAATATGCAAATCATGGTTGCTGGTCCTACATTTGGTTTCTGTTTTATATTACCAATAGATAAGTATGGTTCATATCAGTTTTTTTCTTTTAATTTGCCATACGTTTGCTATCACCGTTTGTGAATTCTAAAGATTGTTATAGTTTTGTTCAATTTTATTGTTTGTAGTATTTAAAAAAATGGTGATGATTTGATTTCTGGGTTTAAGTGACAAATTTAGATTATTATTTTTTATATCTTTTGCTGACGACAGCCACATTTTATCATTTCGCGATTGTTTTGTTCATTGTATGGTATTTTATTAAGAATGTTTTCGGTAGTTCTTTAGCCAATATTTGAGCAGAATAATCTATAATAAATTAATAATGGACAATTACTTCAATTTTACAAGTAGCATTACTTGTATATCTCTTCAGTGCAAGCATTCTGTTGCTGATGAGCCTTTGTCCCATCGTGTCAAATCAGTTATTTAGGATCCCATACATCTGTGCCATATCGGTTTGATATTTAACCCAAACAACTTGGTATAAATTTGTGTTATATGCTACAGTTTTGTTGAGTGTAAAAGTGCTTTTTTTTTATTTTAAAGTATGTCAAGTTCCTGAGTAATTTCATGATGATCTTATCACGATTACATGTACATGATAAGTGTAGAACAACCTTATACACATGTTTTTTGTCATATTTCCAATGATTTTAGTGATTTTATACAAAAATCACGACTTTAGTTTTATCTAAATTAATCTTCAGATTCCACTTTTCGCAATAATTTTGGATGTTGATTGATTTCTGCAAGCCAGTTGACAAAGCTTTCAAAAGCTTTGGAAAATCTATGAAGCATACATTTAATGCTCTTAGACAAAACATGCTTTTTCACTCTATACATGTCTAACTAAAAGTGATAATAGGATCGGTGTCGTGGTTTTATCATGTTTATATATTTTATTTTCTCCTAGTTTTTTGTTTATATATATTGTATTTTTAATATGGGATGTACGAACCTTGCCACTTTATATCCTGCAATAAAGATAAAATAAAAAAAAAATTGTTCTTTTTAATGCATTTTTGAATGATTGTTGTAAGAACAAGAATTTAATCTGTTGCTTGACATTTTTGGCAAAAACTTGCCTGGTTAATATTTATTATTTACTTTTCTACTGAATGTGTCAATCTGTTAATAATAAAACAAATGATTTGTCCTGTATTATTGGATACTGAGGTCCTCTAACTAGTAGGGTCATTAATGTCACCTTTCTTATGTATCTACACGTATATTAAAGATTAAGCCTGTGCTAAGAATTAGATTGAACAACTTAGGTAATGCTTTGGTGAGATGATTGAAACTCAGTTTCATCAATTCTGAACATACGACTGACTGCCCTTTCTACTTTCTTTTCAGTAATATTCTCAATGTTGTATCAACCTTTATTATTTCCAGACTTCATTTCTTACTTTGTAATATTTTAGCCAAGAATCAGCGAAATAGGCTTATTATTTTTATTAGATGTATTTCATTTAATGTAATCCAGAATACTTTAAGGTTGCTATTAATTAGGGATGTCAATTTATTTAAAAATTTTTTTGGAATTTCTTTCTTCTTACTTTTAATAAGATTTAATTTGTTCTGGTATAATATAAGAAAGTCATCAGGGATGACAGACCCCACACCCATCACTTCCAGCAATTTTATTACAAGTGCTTGTTCAATTTCTATCTCTGCAATAGTGATCCAAATAATATTTATGCATTTTTAATTAGGTTATATTAGCATATATGATCATCAAATATGTTGATATGATTTAGTTCGCAAGGTCACCTGTTCAATAAAGCAATGGTTGAATGTCTATATCTGCATAAGTGCTTCAGATATAATAGTTATACATTTTTAATGAGCTCACATGACCATATAAAGTCATTAACTATGTTGATCAGATATAGTGTACAATATCTTCAATAAATTACTGCTTGATAGTGATTCAGATATATATGCATTTTTAAGAGGTCACATAACCATATAATAAATATGTTGCTCAAATGTAGCGTTCAATGCAACAGTGTGAATGTTTCTATGTGCAATAGTGCTCATGATATGACACTGTACAGATGTATAGACAGACAGACGGACACTGGTAACCACTATGTCACCCACCAGCACTATGTGCCAAGACGTACTGGTATAGTAAAATAATTTATTGTGGCAAGTGTTGCAACATTTTATTATTTCATTTAATAGTTTGAATTATAAATTAATCTACAGTTCTCTTTAACAGAGAGAGGGTTCCCCCTATCAGCTGTTTGTGCTTGTCTGTGCCTGTATCTGATCAAGTAAATGGTCTATTCTGTATTTCATGATTGGTTGTCCTTTTTTAGTCTTCTGGCTAAATTTCCAGTGAGTCTCCTTTTTCTTTCTCTTGTACTCTGCAAGTGCTTTCTCTCTGTCTTCTTTTATCTTTTGTGCTTCCTGTAGAGACAAATGATAAGTTCAGATTATTTGTAATGCAGCGAATAGTGCAGTTAATGCAGTAATGCACAATTTGAGGACTTTACAATGAAGATTTCTGTAGGAACAACCCAAAAAAATTGTCACTGTTACATGCTTTGATGGCTACAATCAATACGTGTTGTGTGAATGAAAATAAAAAGTTATATTAAATGACAGACAGTAAATAATTCAAATGACATAAAGGTGTTTAGTTGAACAAATCATCTGATACAAATCCCCTTGGCAACCATATTGCGACCATCCATACTGCATATGATCATGACAAAATATAAACATGTAAATGTTTGGTCAGCCTCAAAAGTTTAGAATAAAGTTTCTCTAGTTGCATTCAGAATTTAGAAACTTTATGACAAAAATTATCATATCAAGTTTGCAACCTTGTATGACGGTCATATTATAAAGTATAATGAATGAAATTCCCCATGTAGTGTAACATTTAACAAAACATTGAATTAAAAAAAATATAATAATTTATATGACAAAAAATGATTATCAGTCAGCTATCTTATTCATATAGGATAACAAAAATTTAGGTGCAGATACTTTTTTGAAATAGGGACTCCATATTTGAATCTTTTGACGTCGTCCCTAAATGTGGCATTACATCAACAAAATCAATATTCCACGGTCTGATCAGTATCTTTCAACTGATTCTGCAATTGCATCCCGAAGAAACCTGCATGGACACAGTAAAAAACAAATTGGCTGCTGTATGCTCTTGAAGATGAAGAAAAATTAATTTCATAGTATTATTACTGTTTAGTTCAGTTTTATAACACACTATTTTTGCAAATGTTTGTATAAATAATCTACAACAACTGCACTTAATTAAATCAATCACAAACCTCCATTTTCTTCTGTTTCTCCTCTTGTTGTCTTTTGAACTCAAGTTGATCTTTTGAAAACGGATTCATCCTTTTCCTGTACAAGAAAAAAGTACTTTAACTTATGTGACCTGACTACAATACCAAGATTTTTTTATATTTTTTGTGCCAGGCGACAGTTCCGGACATTGAGTGTCACTGTTGTCTCTCCTGACTTTTTTTTTTTTGTATGTACAAATTGCAAGTGCTAGTGACGACACATAGTGTATTTTGCCACAGAAGTCATATTCATGTTTGGGACTACATGACAGGGCTGTGTGGCCATCTCTCTGTCAAATGGAAATTTGTAATGCGCTATTCTGGTGTCAACCAGGCCTGGTCGAACACAAGCACCTGTGGACCTTAACCAAGGTTCCCCCAAAGTCGCATTCGTTAGTGAATGAATCTCGGCCAGTGGAATTGGCCTTCCCATTGAGTCTGTGGCACACTCACCCAGGGTAGGGGTTGACCCTTAGGATGTTCATCCTAAGGTAGGATTTGAAATTGGATTTACCGATCATGACTCTGATGCGACAACCACTATGCTACCAGTGACCGGTGTACAACACCAAGATTACAATGTTAATGTAATGCATTTGTTTAGGTGAACTACCGGTAGGCTAGTATTTAGCAATAAGTTCCTGAATTTTTCCTGAGAACAGCAAAGTAGCATCAGGGGAAAAACAAGTTAAAAATTGATCTGTGATTCAGTTATTCTTTAAAAGTTACTAAACTAACTACTTGATTAAATGTTCTATAATTGTTTATCTAAAAAATGTGTACAATCTACTAACTAACATCATTGGTATCCCATTACACACAATGTAAAAACTTGTAAAAACAATGTTTTCCTTCCTTAAATTGATTTTCACTGTACTACCTAGACTTGCATACAGTCACTTGTTTATTTTTTGTTTTTGTTTTCAATAAAAAAAATATCATGGGAATGTGTTAACCTGTGTTACGACGAAATTAAGGCAAGTTACCATGAAATAAACAAGGGACTTGTGACCCTTGTGGACGCCCTCTTGCGACACCGGTAATGATTGACCACCAGTCCATGTTCAGTGTCACTGTGATGCAATGATTGACAGGTTCATTACTTTCCACCAATCAGCGTTAACTTGTTAAAATTGGTATTAGATTCTTCTCAATAGAAACCATGCTGGTTAAGATTGCATGTCAAGACAGCGTCGAAGGTGCACTAAAGATACTTGATTACGATAAGAGGTTGTTGATGCGTACACTTCTGGTCCTAATGTTTGTGTGAGTGTTGGTCAATTCACCAATTTCTTGACTGGCATACATCTTCAGGCCAGCTTTGAACAGTCTTCTACTGTTATCTCAGATTTTTGTATTTTTGACCAACATACAATGCAAATGCACTCCGAGTTCTCAGTGACAGTTGTGAAGTTTGTTTTTTGTTGGCATGCTAGCAATCACTTGTCCAATATTCAATACCATCTTGAAAGAATGTAAACTTATATGTATGCATGCTCCGCCCATGAAATCCTATCACATCATTGAAATGCTCATTAATATTAATAGCAAGGGAACCCTTGCAAGGGTCACAAGTCTCTTGTTTATTTTGTGGTAACCCGGCTTTCGCCATTTATACACTTCCATATTTTATTTTATCCAAAATTCACCAAAGAAATAAACAAGAGACTGTATGAAAGTCTACGTATTACTGGTAGCTTATCTTTATTAGTTTAACTAGGAATATCACTCTACTGAAAACTTAAACTACCTTTTTCCTTTCGGCCTATCATCTTGAGTATTATCTTCATCTTGCTTTGATTCAACATCCAACTTTTGCACATGTCCAGAAAAAGATAAAGATGCACTTCCTTTGTCTGTTTCATCAAGATGCTGTTGTTTTCTAAGTTCTCTCCACTGCTGTTTTCTGTCTTTGTGTTTTAGTTTGTTGTACTCGTAAATAATTTTTCTTTTCCTTTTATCAGCAAATCCCTGTCCTAAAATGAAAACATTGTTCATTATGCACACAGCATAGTAAGATAACATACAGTGACATACATGTACTTGTTTACTTTATGAAATACAATTCATTGCTAATTGCCAACATGTACCAGTTACAAAAAACAAAGTTAGGGAGGATGAATTTATAAAGTGGTTGATATTGAAAATAGGTAATTTAATTACGCATCTCTAACACAATTTAAAACAAAAAAAGTTCTGTTTATTAAATTTTTTAAATTATATAAACATAGGTTTATGCTCTGCACTTTAATATATACTTGTCTTTATTTTTACAATATAAAGCTCAAGGCATGTAATAAAATGTAATATAAGGCTTAAAAAAAACACCAAAAAAGTGCAGAATGATTTTTTTCACTTATTTGCCACTGCCTAGTGCCCTCTGTTGATTGACGATGGGATGAAACTGGCAAAATGGGTGTGCCATGAAATACGAGTATTTCAGAAGAAAAAAAAAAAACCTCACTACCCCAGTTTTGAATTTTTTTTTTGGAAAGGCTTTTAAATTATATGTTGCATAATATTCTCATTACCAGAACCAGGCACTTTTACCCAAAATGGAACCACCACCAAATATAGAGATTTGCATATTTTATAAGCTTATTAAAACAGCTTAATTTCTAGATTACATTTGAGATCAATTAAGATTTCAAACATTTCAAAACAAATCACTATGTTTTCGTATACAGAGAAAATTTAATGGGAGAACTAATCGGGTGAATACAATCTCTATTTTTAGGAAAAGTGCCTATGACTGCACTAATCTTTATGGACTGGCTTTTGTGATTCACAGTTGTTTCGTCCCAAAACACTTTCGTCCTACTGGTATTGCCAGTGTGGCACGAAATGTAGATCTAATGTTAGATGTATATGTTGTACATTTCGGATTATGTTATACTGCTTGTTGTACATTTCAGAGAACTGTTAGTGTTACTTAGTGTGTACATTTCTCACTATGGTAGGTACCGAACAGAAAGCTTAAGCTGATTCACTGCTATTCTTATAACATATCAACTGGACATATCAACTGATACATTGAAAACAGAACATTTTCAGAGAAGAAATTGTAATTTAGATCGAATATGGTATATTAATCATGATCACGGTGACTGAAATTTTTTCTTATGCTTTTCTCGGATTCGGTATCAACTGGTACTCTACATCTAACAGTTTAGTACATTTCACAACTTACGCAATAAAAAAGAACACCAGCGATACCGGTAGGGCGAAAGTGTAGTGGGACAAAAGTGTAGTGGGACTATAGTGTTTTGGGACAAAACGACCATCCACCAGCTTTTGTGGCTCTAGGTCGTGTGGAGGGAATGCCCGAGCTTGTGTAAGCCATACGACTGAGGGCAACAAAAGCTATATCCAGTCAATTTACCTTATAGGTGTAATTACTATTCATGTTGTTTTCCCGTGGAAATCAAAGGCAAAAGATCGCACTACATTGTCGGTAAATCGCTTCCGCGTTTCGTTCACCTTGAAGTCGGTGACCTGTCATTAACATATTTAAATGAACTAAGGTAATTTGAACACGTGGGCACCATCCGGCATTTTGATTGGTTAATTAGCGACTTGACTTATCCGGTCAAGCAACGTCTCATGTGCATTCAAACTACATGGCGGATGTCGTATTGCATCGATCGTTTACATGTGACCGAAATAATTCGCTCACGGTGAAACTAAGTTGAATTTTACTTGCATTTGATAACAATTCAACAAATTTATTTTTCGTGCGTTCCCTACTGAGTAATAATCAACAATTTCAACACTTCGAAAATAAGTAAGTTATTCACTTGTGAGCCGAAGCATGGCCGGATTGCGTTACCGTAACCACGGTATGGTACTTGTTTAGTGCCGTACCATGATCATTTTCTACTAAGCAATGCATTAATGTTTGTTTTTATTTGAAACTCCTGTCAGAATATACTTTCCGTTACGAAGAAAATTAAAAAAATAAATGCATATTACATTAAATATACTGAGTATTTTTTTTCATGTGAACAGTTTTTTTTGTGACGTGACACTTATCACTCTTCCCTGACATTTAAATTGGAGTTACCCCTTATATTCAAAAGATTGTACGGTGTATTGTTTGTTTTGTGCAAGTGATGTGGGAAATATGTACGTAATAGAAACCGCACCCCGAACTTGAGCTGTTGATCCCATTTTTTTATTTGATACATTGTAGTATAAACCGCGGTTTATAATAGGATTTTAACGGTAATTTAGAATGACAGGGTTTTTTTGGGATGATGAAAGTTGGGTGTGCTGGTCAGGCCATCGTCTGAATCGCACGGTTTCGCTAAAGCCGGCCATTCATAACCGCCCCACGAACCTGTGCGTGATCGAGATAGGAAGAGCTGTATTTCACTGCAGTTAAATGGAATCATTTGATTGGACGCGCCAAGGAGCTGGCGCTACCATTCAGCGTTGCTGTATCATAATTTTGAATGGATGGAGTTATCACAGATTAAAACAATGGCGGTGTGCAGGATTTGCGCTCAAAGTGTTTTATGCAAATTGTGTTTTATTAAACTGTTGAAACTGATAACATATCGACTTGCCCGATCCGGTCTTCGTTGCAACAAACCACGGTTACTAGTTCTAATTCTACTAGTAACCATGAACAAACACATCATTTCCCTCAGATACAGCACTAAGCGCTTTTTTTTGATGGTCACTAATCTCGTTCATAGTTCGTTGATTTCTATATTCCACTATTTTAAATTTACCAAGTATGTGTCGTTTATATCGTAAGTAATGATTGGGTAATGCAAATGAGCCCGAGTGAATCTTATAATTGCTTGAGTGCGCGGGACATACAGTAAATTGTAAATTGATACGCGAAATTGTTGCCCTGATGTGAGGGTGCACTTCCCATAGCGTTACGATGCTGGGAAATACGTGTTATGTGATAGCAATAGCTCAGGGGCGGATCTAGAATTCTGGAATGGGGGGGGGGTTAAGTTGGCAGAAGGCCAAGTTCGCAAGCGCGAAGCCCTGTTGGTTGTTAAAAATAGGGGGGTAGCGGCCCCCCTCTAAATCCGCTCATGTAGCTACTGCATATGTTTGTATATGAGGTCTAAATGAATAAGGTTTTGATTTCAATATTGAGTTCGAATGATTAGACGGAGAACGTCACAGGGGCGAATTCCCCCAAACGGAGCCTTGGAATGAACACCCACCTCCGAAATTATGTTTCACCAGAGAGATGGTTTCACCAACCACAGTCCCTCGTGTACTGCATAGAGACTGTACCCAAAAACTAAGGTGTCAATGTATTGGAAAGAACGGTGATAACAATACCTTCTTCTTTGTTGCCGATAAATTGTTTGTAACTATTATATTTCCTCTTGTTCTTTCTGGTCGTTCCTCCTGATTTATCTAGGGAACTTTTTGACTTATCTCTCCGTACTCGCGACTCGGACAAGGAAGCCATTTTGAGAAATAACGTACTCGATCCGAAACATTGAACAATTCTGTTTAAATGTTTTTTTACTGATGAACTCTATTGTTTTTCTAGATATATAATTTTCATAATAATAAAGAAATTAGAATTTGTTTATTATAATGTCTTCTTCAAAGAACCATGTTTCACATTTTACGTATAGCTTTTCTCCAAACTCCTTGAACGAGGGGATACAATTTCTAAACGTATTTTCAAAATGGCTGCGCCCGTGGTTGAATGAGTTGCCGCTCTCCGAAAAAGTTACGTTTTTCCACTAACAACAAACAATCATGAAAACTGTATTTATGGTCGCTGAAAAGCCGCAGTTGGCACATTCATTGGCAAAGATATTGTCAAATGGACAATTAAATTCGAGGAAGGGATTCAACGGTGCTTGTTCTGTCCATGAGTACACCGGAAAGTTTCAAGGCGAACCTGCCAGATTCAAGGCAAGTGATTATACAGCCCCGACACTAAATCCGGCACAAAATGCAATATTGGCACAGCCCCGGCACTGTACTGTGGCATTGGCTGTGAGATCGAGCACGAGAAATAAGTTTAGTGACGTTTCGCCACAACGCTCTTTTGTCACAGCACAGTTTGAATAAAAAAAGTTTACCACTAGTATTCAGATTATGAAAAAACGACAAGTGTGATTATAAAGTATTCCGTTCAATTTCAAGAGACAAAATTATTCTACTTTAAAAGCAAGTAACAATTAAAGCCTCGGTAGAAAGTCCATGCAAAAATCGTGTTAATGGTTTGGTCTAGAATGGAGCATACTTTTAAATATCTTTCCAAGTGGTGTATATTAAGGCCTGGGTTTGGAAATTGGGCCACACATCGCTACCAAATCAGTACCCCCGACGCTCAGGAAGGGCGAGGACATTGCTTGTTCTTTTGAGATTACTGTTTTGTACATCTGTATACGTGAAATCATACAATGATAACAATTGTATTAAACAAAACATAAAACAGTGATGTTAGTTGTTACCAAAATATGTGTATCAAAACCGATGAACAGGAATGAAACAGCTTTATGATGAAATTACTGTCATCAGGCAAACAAACATTGGAGGGAAACGCTTTTGAAACGCATTTAGTTTATAATTTACCGGTAGTTAATTCAGTATACACATTTATTAGGAATCCAATATCATGTTTGATTACTGTGGAATCAAAAAAAGCTGACTACTGTAAACTGTTTTCACTGACAACAAATGTATGCAATTTCAGGATTTTATGGCTTTCGTGAAGAAAGAATTTTGTGAGAGTCAGTGACACTTCATGTAGTAGGATACCAGAGAAATTTTCACTGCTACAAAATTCAAAGAATTTCCAACATTTTATCTTTTGCAAAATTGAAAAGGTTTACAATATTTATTTGTTAGAACTTGAAAACAACTAAACTGTTGACCAGAAAAAGTCATTTTTGTTTTGGTTTTTAATAACTTATTTTAATTACCCTGTAGATGACCTCTGTTTGTGGTCATGTAATGGGACTGGACTTTGATGGAAGTTACAATAACTGGGATAAAGTTGATCCGGTAAGTGTAGACATGTAATGGGACTGGATTTGTGGTGAATATAAAGGTATTTTTTTTCTTGTGTATTGTTTTGATCTTCCTGAATGTTAGGCATATATATTTATTCAACAATAGAACACTAGTATAGTAATGCTTTTTAAACCTTGTACAAGAAAGGCTAAAATTAATAATTGGCTTTTTTTGACATATTACAGGATGTCAAGTTAGTCTAAACTGTTATATTCATTGTTTTTGTTTTTCTTTATAATAGGCAGAACTGTTTTCAGCCCCAGTTAGGCGAATTGAAGCTCAAGAAAAATTGCGTATGCCAGCTTTTCTTTCTACTGAGGTAAAGTCTTTTTATCTATTGTTTAATATGACCAGAAGCTTGATAATATGATGTTCGGTATGGATTAAAATCATGACAAACATTTAATATTTTTTATTTAAAAAAAATTGAATCACTGTTAAAACTTGAATACATTTTGCACACACAAAAAAAAAATAATTCCTTTATGTATGCTATTACATGAAAAAATTATTAATTTGAGTTTTGACAGTATTAAGTGGTTGTATTCGTAAATTACAATGTACAGTTTGTATATGTACCTAACAGGAGATTTTAAATTCTTGTTCCTGACTTGTATTATGAACACTTTATGTATTACTGTAATGCATTTCTCTGAAGTCTACTATCCAAATATATGCCACATGAATAGCTACTATTGTTGTATATGCCAGAAAGTTGGATCATGCCACTCATGTTAATAATTACAGAATCCAATGCAAGGTTCCGTTGATAAACTTCCAAGCACTGAATAAAGTTGTTCCTCAAGTCATTGTACATGTGATCAACCCATAGATAGAAATTTTATGCTGCATCCTAGTTTTTTGACTTTTCAAATCAGTTGTGTACTATTGTACATTAATGCTTTTTATTTTTTTCATAGTCCAAGGGTTGTGATTATCTTATTCTCTGGTTGGACTGTGATAAAGAAGGTGAAAATATCTGCTTTGAAGTCATAGATTTTGTTCAGCCAGTTATGAATAGACCATATGGCAGAGAACAGGTAAAACAGCCCTAATATTGCCCCATTATGTTGTTTGTCAAGTTTTCAAGTATATTACATGTAGAACATGTAGATGATTTTTCATTCTCTGCAAGATGATGCGTACTGAATGCTTGCCACGAAAATATAATTATTGAATTCAGATTCCCTTACTTCATCAAAAGGCGTGGAAATATTAACAACATTGAATCCCACTTGATGTTTTGATGTCACTATAACCACAGTCCCTCTATCTGATAGAGGGACTGTGCTATAACCTTTGTTTTTACGTTTGAGTTTGAGTTCACGCATAACACAGGATCTCGCAGTTAACAAAATGGCTATTGGACATGTATAGCATGTATATAGTTGTCTCGCTGCATGATTGTATGTTAAAGTATTTAAAGTATTTATTACCAAAAACATCAGTTTGTATCATTGGATTTTAAATGTTGTGAACATATTATAATCAGAATTTAGCATCTGTTTCTATAGTAATAAATGTATATTCGTGTATTCTTCTAGACTGTTTTCAGGGCTAAATTCAGTGCTATTACAGATAAAGATATCAAAGCTGCAATGAATAAATTGGTTGAACCTGATAAAAATCAAGCTTTGTCTGTTGACGCTCGTCAGCAATTAGACTTGCGTATTGGATGTGCCTTTACTAGATATCAAACAAAATTTTTTCAGGTAAGAATGCTATTGTTCGTATGTAAATGACAACTCAAACTTTTTGAATCAGGGATGAGAATTTTTCACTGATTCGTGAATTTCTAAGCTCCAGAGATCAATTTTCTGAAATGTCCAAATCCGAAGAGAAAATTGGGGGGGGGGGGGGGGGTAAGAATACAAATCTTGTTCATTCACCAGAAGTAAACATGCTGTTGGGTCATTCTTGTCGACTGCAAAAGGCCTGTATCCGTGTATGGTCGAAGGGAGACAACTCGCGGTGTCTCCAATGCGGAATGTTCGCGACTATTTTCATCAGTGCAATCATTCAATCAGAAGTGGTTTTGGAAGTGTTCAAAGTAATATGTAGCAATTAACATAATTGGCTGGGTTTGTTCTGACAGCAAATCAGTGAAGAGCTTTCATTTTTTCTTTTCACCAACGTTGCCATTTTATTGTTTCAACTGTTAGCTGCGTTGGATCGTTGTTTCAGGCAGCGATAATGGTAAAATTGGTTACAAAAGACAATGACTCAGCTGTGCGAAAGATCGATAAACACATTAACATTAACAAATTTCATTGGACGTTCAGTGGTAACTGAAAAATTGAGTGACTTCATCAGCAAGCGTGAGGTCCCGGGAAAGGCACAGTGTCTGTATTGTTACAATTTGATCAACTACGGTTCTCAGACCCCGGCTACTTTACTTTCAGCTAAAAATTAAAATTCTCATTCTCATTCTTGTTGAATACCCGGCAACCATTTTGTTTTTCAGAGCCAGCCTTTAGATGTCCAATTGATTATTTTCATAAAAAGCTATTGCTGCCCAATTTCATTGCAAAAACGAAAAGAAAATATTTAGATTTTTCACTATCATTCATCAAATTTCTGATACTAGTTATTCAATGTGATCACAACAAACACCACATTGCTGTTATTTTTTCAGGGCAAGTATGCCGATTTAGATAGTACTTTGATATCATATGGACCATGTCAGACACCTACACTGGGCTTCTGTGTGGATAGACACGATAAAATACAGTCTTTCAAGCCTGAAACATACTGGGTACTGCAGACTCAGGTGAGTGTTATCAAATGTGACACTGTTAGGAAAACTAACAGAGCAGAGTCTGATAACCACATCAATACCTAATATCTGTTTTTTGTGTTTTCATACATGTGTTTTAACTTTGTTTGATGCAAATAAACCAAAGTCACTAACTGTGCACACATTGTTATTTGAATAAATGTAAGCATCAATTATTAAACATTACCACGACCTTTAATATTATATAGGCTTGGATAGGATAGGCCTGGATAAGAGTCACTAATACATCACCTGCTGATGAATTGGGGAGAACAGGTGATATGTTAACAGTCTGGGGCATAGTCACCATGCAAGCTATGCCAATGTCACTGTCATTCATCAGTAAATTTGGAAAGGAAAACTATTTTCCTGTAATACATGTACCATGATATCTGCATTAGAAGCTGCATCGCACCCATTTATTTTGAAAAATTGAGAAACAAAAAATCACAATTTCTCATATGTGTAGAAGCTCTAATAGAAACTGTATCCCCTCTATTGCATTGTACCATTTTAATAGAAACCGTGGTTTCCATTAAAGACAGATTTTACAGTACATCCTGTGATCTTCTTAGAAGATTTTGAGTTATTGACTTACTCCTAAAGTCTATACAAATGGGAAGTAACTTTGATTTTCTTTACTTTTCTTTACTTTATTCAAAAAGACAAGCTGGGTCATTCATCATAATTGTTACGCTTGTGTTCGTATTATGAGGAATGCACAAACAAATTTAACTGGTGTCATGTCTTGGCAGTAATGGGATTAACTTTTATTCAGTTCATTTTACCAAAGACAGTTTTTCAAAATGAACTATCTTAGGGTAGAATTCTACTCATGAATTTGTTACATGTGCATTTTACATTTACATTTTATGTCAAAATCTATCTACAATTAATCGTAAAAAACTGTAAAAAACTATGCATAAAATATCATTTTAGCAATGGTTTCAATAAACCGTAATGTTAAAAACCAATTAAAAATATTGTCAATTCTTCATTATCCGAGACACTACATATCCTTTTTTAAGATATATATACTCATAGAAAACAATGGTAAAATGCACAAACCTAGACAAACATGCAATTACACTGTCAATATTTTCCAAACTGAGTATGATGACTTACTTTTGTGTAATCTTCTACCTTGAATAGAATAATTCACAACGTTCAATTACCCACCATAGACTCCGGTCAGTCAAAATGACTATTTTAAACTGTAGGCATTAATCAGTGATTCTGCTGGTGACGGAGAAATAGAATCTAGGTCAGGGGAAGCCCCATGACCCCAAGATTCTTTTACCCCTTACGTCACGAACCCATGTGACCAAGGCCACATGGCAGCGCCACAGGTAGCCGTCAATCACTCTTCTTTTTTCTCCGCCTCGTCGGGGAATGATTCTGAGCGGCTCTGCCTGGCTTTGTTGCTTTTTCCTGTCCGGGTTTCTAGCGTGGGTCATCGCCGCAGCCGTGGCATCCGAGATTCTAGCTGGTAGAATAAGTTTTACTTGTCATTTTTACCCTCGTGTCATTTTCCCCTTTGTGTGTAGTATTTTTCACAACAAAGAGATTAAAACCCGGCGCCACTACGCGGCGGCATCTTTTACAACTGTATTTCGTTTTCCCTCATGCATGTCGTCTTTTATTTACAATGTATTTAGCAATATATAGATGTAATGACAGCACCAGGGCTCGCTGCCGTTTTCTTTCCGGCCTCCTTGTGTTTCGAGTCGACCGTGCAGTGGTTATATTCAGAATTTACCAGCATAGAACCTGCATCCGAGATACTTTGTCATAGCTGCATGCGGGGTTCTGGGTTTTTTTGCCTAAAGGTGTGTGTGTTTTCACTGGAGTTCTGAGGCCTAAGATTTTCTTTCAAAGCCATCAAAATCGCTGAGACTGACCGCGTCACAGCAAGGTTGCACGTCCAGTAAACAAATCGGTTAAAGTGAGTTGCATGTTTTGCATGAGTGAAAAGTCCTCACACTCGGCTACCGGTGCTTCGTGTACCGAGACGTCGAGTAAGAGGCCCGATGGTGGAGGTACCGATATTTTTCTTGGTCTCCCCGGCATCCTCACAGTCTGTTTTTTTCAGGCACTGGTTTACCCGATTTTACCGGCTGCAGCGAGGCTGTGCCCCTGGAGGCTTTCCTCCTATGGGGCTCATTGCGGGTCCCATTGGGGGGGGGGCGCATGTGTTCGGTGAGTGGCCAGGTAACAACTTAGTGACTACTTCAGGCCTTGGGGAACTCACCTCATGGGGGAAGGGAGCACCCTCCCTCGCAACTGCCAAACACATGGCCACATATCCCTGTCGTACACAGATTGCGCCGGTGTAGTCCGGTTTGGAGACAGTGGGTGATCGATCCCTGGACCTTTCCAGGTGGTGACATCCTGTCACGGCATACCGCTGAAATCTTCATTTCCCCCTGTCAGTGTCTTCCCTGTTGTGCACTGCCAGGGAACTCAATCAGACAGGAAGTAGCAGTTTGCTGGGAAAGGACGCCATACACAGGGTACATCAGCCGGAACTAAGTCCAGGCTTTACCCAAATGTGTTCGTAGTACCAAATCTACAAGTGGCGGGCGTCCAGTTCTGGACCTAGGCAGACTGAATCTGTACGTGCTCCTCAATCAGTTCCACATGGAGGCACCATTCAGGGTTCTTCTCTCCATCCACCATTTCGACTGGCTAGCCCCCACTAGACTTAAGCGGGGCCTACCTGCACATACCGATGCACCCAGCGAGTTGCCATCTCATTCGAATTGCCCGGCTGGGCCAAGTATTCGATTTTTTGGGTGCCCCCTGTTCGGGTTAGGCACAGCGACCTACGTGTTCACCCGAGTGATGAAAAAGGTAGTGCTGCTGCCTCACCAGATGTCGGTACATCTCAGTCCGTACCTAGACTACTGGTTACAACCCGGGCAAGGGGTTAATAGCCAAACACGTCAGGCTAACACAGGATTTACTTCACCAGTTGGGCTCGTTAGTAAATCATCAAGTCCCACCTCGACCCAACACGCAGTTGGTGTCCCTGGACATGGAGTTTTGACACAGAGGTAAGCTTGGCTAATCAAGCGTGTTGCTTAGCGCTAAGGAGCCTAGCCGAATGCCTAGTCAGCGTTCCCTCAGTGTTCCTTCGAGAACTAATGCGAATCATCGGAATGATGACCTCAGTTCAAAGGGTCGTTCCCCAGGCCACACTATGCAGCCGCCAGGTATAACGCTTGTTATAATGCCGAGCTCTCCTATGGGAACTAGATAGGCGGGTTTCGTTCTCGGACCAAGTAAAGGAAGCCCTGCCCTGGTGGTCGTCACTGGCCAACCTCGGACAGGGGGGCTCCTTGGACCCGCTCGCCGCAGGTATGACTCTGGTAACAGATGCCTCCCCCCAGGGTTGGGGAGCGCATCTATTGGACCAACAAGCCCAAGGATATGGCCCCTGCATTAGTTTTGGGACTACCATATCAACCGGCTCAAACTGAGAGCAGTGTACTTAGCACTACCATGCTTTCTACTCGTAGTTCGAGACCACAGAGTCCTGCTCCGCACAGGCAACGTAGCAGTGGTCTCCTTTAAGAAGGAGGGGGGACGCCTTCAGTCCTAGTGGAGCAAATCCTCCTTTGGTGCCTGGAATACAATGTGGAGCTAACTGCACACCACCTTCCAGGGGTGAGGAACAGTCTGGCGACGGCCTTTCAGAACGGCTTTGTCTCCAGAACACGGAGTGGCTGATACCCCAGTGGGTAGCCTCCAGGCTGTTTCGCTGTGGGACGGTCCAAGGTTGGATCGGTTTGCCGATCCCCGGAACACCAAGCTCCCGACGTACGTAACACTCCTGCTGACTCCAGGAGCCTGGGCCAGGGTCGCTTTGCTAACCCCGTGGACCCACTTAGTTGTGTACGCCTTTTCCTCCCTTCCTGCAAGTTCACCGGGCACCGGAGAAAACTTTGACAGGTGCACACCTGCATATTATCATTGGTCGCACCCAATTGGCCAAGCAAGGCCTAGATTCCACTTCTGTCGGAAATGCTAGTCGAAACACCAGCAGTGCTTCCAGACTTACCGGACCTGCCATCCCAACCAGATGGCGCACTACCAACGAGCCCAGCAGGTATCACTTAGAGGCTCTCAGTAGACCCGCACATACGAAAGCCTTATCTGAGCGGGCTGTCAACGTCCTGGCCAGGGCGAACAGGGATTCCACCAACGCGGCCTACATTTCTAGGCTGCGAGCATACACTGATTGGTGTAGTGGAAGGGAGATTGATCCATACCATCCCTCTATTGGCCAGGTAGCAGGCTCCTTCGTCCACCTGTTTGATGAAGTGGGTTTGTCCTACGCAGCGTTCGTTGGCTACAGGTCGGCCTTGTCCCCCACCACTCAAAATGTACGGGAACAAGACTAGCCGATTGTCCTATTATTAGGAGACTATTTACTGCTTTCCAGACGCCAAGACCCCATACAAGGGAGCCGCCCAACTGGGACTTGTCGGCTGTGTTGTCTGCTCTAAGCAGACCGCCCTTTGAGCCTCTCCGATCAGCACCACTCAAATTTTTGACATGGAAAATAGTCTTCCTACTGGCCCTCGCCTCAGGTAGGCGTCGGCCAGAGCTGGGGGCATTGTCCTTCTTTGATGATGTACCGCTGTTATGGACAATCAAGTTGTGCTAAAGACACGAATCTGGTTTCTTGCCTAGAACCAAATCCCAGGACACGATCCTCACCCGATCGTCATCCCCCGGCTGTCAAATTTTGCCTGCCCGGAGGGTCAGGAGGAATTGCTTCTCTACCCGGTTCGAGCACGGAGTTGCCACCAAACCGTACTAAGGATTTGGAACGGGGTGCCAGGAACATATCTTTGTGTTATGGCCCAGGCAGGCAGGATAGGCCGGTGGTTTACTGCGACTGTATTAGAGGTGAATAATACTTCATCTTCCTCGACACAGAGCTTGCAGAGACACCAAGTACGAGCACATGAGGTCTGTGCGATTGCTAATTTGCTAGTGCTAGCGTAAGGTGCCCCCTCTAGCACACATGGAGGCTTCTGATGAAGCAGAACGTCTTTATCAACTACCACCTAAGAGACACCGAATCCATTGAAAAGGGTCTCTCTAGGTTGGATCCCGTCGTAGCGAGTCAGTCTTGGTTTGCTGACCCAGAACGAACGACCGCTAGGGTCCCTGTGCATAGGCAATAAGTCATTTCGGCATTTTATGCGAACAGATTTCTCTACCATCAGCACTCCCCAGGAAGCTCCCAGGTCCTGCTTTGCGGCCTATGCCCTCATGCAGAACTGTTTCGGTCTTTACTTCGAAAGCTTAATACCCCCCAGAATTGGGTTGGGGTCTAGCTTTCTCGGGCACATCGAAACCTGTCACCGTAGCAGCATTTTGGCTTCTTGCTCCGGGGACAGCACAGGCAAGGTGAGACACCACCCTTTTTTGGGTCCTAACTAGTGTTTCGAGTTTGTTTTCATCCCAGACTGGGAAAAGACTTTCATCATTTTTTCTGTTTGCTCAGAAAAACCTGCCACCTATCAGTGTCTGACTCTGCCTACAGTTCAAAATAGTCATTTTGACTGACCGGAGTCCATGGTGGGTAATTCAACGTAGTGAATTTTTGTCTAAGTCCTCGAGGCGGAGAGAAAGGAACCAGAGTGATTGACGGCTATCTGTGGCACTGCCATGTGGCCTCGGTCACGTGGGTTTGTGACGTAAGGGGTAAAAGAATCTTGGGGTCATGGGGCTTCCCCTGACCTAGATTCTATCTCTCCGTCACCGGCAGAATCGCTGATTAATGCCTACAGTTCAAAATAGTCATTTTGACTGACCGGAGTCTATGGTCGGTATGAACTATGTGAATAGGCGGGTTCGGAGAACCCTTGCCTAATTTTCATTGTATTCAACATACATTGCAACATTCGATATCTCCTTCCTAGGTAAGCTACAATAACAAGACATTCTCACTGGATTGGGAACGAGTTAGATTGTTTGATAAAGAAGTAGCACAGATGTTTATCAATATTGTGAAGGCTGCCAACGAAGCAGAGTATGTTTCTATCTTTACAGTTGTTTCATCAGAATTTTGAATGAAAATTTTATATCAAATGTTGTTCTTTTGTACTTGTTTTATCACTTTATACTAGTAAACCTTTAGTCATTGTGATCCCTGCAAGACATGGACTAGAAACTTGATTAGCTGCTTTTGAATGGGATATCATTTCTACAGTGTTGCAAAACATATATCAAGTGCAGCAATGTTTATAAATTTACTAGTAAAGTTAGAAACCTATTACAGAAATGTATCCACATACAGACAACGTTTTAGTTCACAGTTCTGTTGCAACAACTGTAAATCAAACAATTCAATGTATTTCTTTCACTTATACATATCACATCTGTTTCCAGTCATCTTTAGGATGTCCAGCTTAAATATTTGTATATTCCTAAACTTACATGTACAGCGATTTGTTATTATTTAGTATGACCAAACATGTATGACCACATCATTCATATATCGCCTGCTTCTGACACTGCCCCCCCCCCCCCATTCGTTTCGGCTATCTGTGGTTTCTTTCAACTGGTGACGTGTTAACGCCACTTGTAATTTTTAAACTATTTTGCTCCAGAGTTGTAAATATCAGCCAAAAAGAGAAATCTAAACAACGTCCACAAGCTTTGAACACTGTAGAACTGATGCGTGTTGCTAGTTCGGGACTCGGTATGGGACCACATCACGCTATGCAGATTGCCGAACGACTCTACATACAGGGCTATATTAGTTACCCTAGAACTGAGACATCACAGTATCCAGAAAGCTTTGATCTCAGGTGAGTTTATCCAAATCTTGCATAGATCCTACAAAGAAGACAGTAAAGTTTTATTCAGGTTTAATTACATATTACATACATATACAACTGTATAACATACAAATACATATATTTGGATGTGATGCCACTATTACTTCTTAGTACCTCATTAAAATGTAAGGTATAAAAGTGATACATATGTATTTATACCAAACTATAGTCAGTGATGATTTCTTATTTGATATTGTCTTCAAATTATTCTATGCTGTTTATGAAGTCTAGGAAAAGCTATTTATATTTCTCATTGTATGTTGGCGTCCATTAGCCATGACTTTGAAACTCTGCATGAAGGTAACCTGAGTGTTTCTCCCTCAGATTTGTTCACTTTATGACAATAACTCAAATTTATGGGAGTGAATATTTTTCTAATATTTTGTTTAACAAAAATATTTTTGATGACCTCTTGAAAACTGCCAGCTCAATTTCTTTATTATTTGAAATGTATACTTTACATTGTAGGTGGACCTCTCTCAGATTTGTTTTCATTTATCACAATAATTTTAATTCTCTAACTTCTGTGAATGTTTTTGCAATTTTTGGTAAAAGTGTTATTTTCGACTTCTTGTTAAAAGTGGTACCCCTGACAGCTTTGATAAATTACATGTTGGTACCTTAGGTGGACTTCTTTCAGTTTTGGTCATTTTGTAACAATTTTCACAAACTGTGGATCTACAGTGCAGTGTTAACAACACTTTAGCAGCATGTTAGCATCATGCAAACACAGGCACATTATTTCTAGCATTGTTTGTATATCATTGCTTGCCTGCTTGCTTGTTTATTTTACCCTGTGGAGAATTTTTACAGGTTGTGTGATCTGACTTTATCCCCCCCCCCCTCCCCCGTACTTATAAACATCGTTCTAGGAAATATCAGTAAAAGCAGGCTTTCACATTATATCACTGTATGGGTAACATTGCAAGCTCTAAAAATGTAAATATGACTATTATGGAGCCCATCACTATTACAGTCATTAAAACTCTGATTTCATTTACAGAGGAACACTGAGGCAGCAAGCATCATCTTCAGATTGGGGTTCAGAGGTCAGGCAGCTACTTAGTGAAGGTATTTCAAAACCCAGGTGAGCATAGTAATGTGATTATCCTGCATATACAAGTTTAATATCTCAATCTTCGATAATCAAAAGTGAAAGCATCAAGATTGTTCATTGAACTTTATTGCAGTCGACTATAAAATTAATTTTTTGTGGAGAATATTTGATGAATCGCCTGGATTCATCATTACTCTTAATAAGTTCATATTTCACACTACAATACAAGTTTCATTAAAGATTTTATATGAATAATTTCAATGTTCAACTTTGATGAGTTCCAGTCATTACAGTAAAACTTTGTACGAATATTTTGTCTCAATTTCTTTGTAATTTTCTTTTCTTACACAAGTTGACCCGACTCTCCATTATTTGACTTGATAGGTAAAGCCGAGTATTTTACCAGATTCCTGGGTGGTGCAAGTCAAAAGTATTCATGAATTTCTGAATAGCCACCATCAATGAAATGATTTATCAATGTTTTGGCATCAAAAACGAAAGACTGTAAAAATCCATTAAAATATTCACTTTCAAGTAGAGATACAAACATTACTATAAATTTAACTAAAATATATATGTATAACAAAGGGGTTCTAAGATTATTCATTTATTTACATGGATTCTATAATATTTCATAAATTGTTACCCAATGTAAAATTATTTACAGGGAGGCAATAAAGTTCTTATTATTAATAGTATTATTATGTAATTGATAGTAATCACAGTATTATTGTTTTCATTAGAAAAGGTAATGATGCTGGAGACCATCCTCCCATTACTCCAATGAAAGGTGCCAGTGAAAGTGAATTAGGCGGGGGTGATAACTGGAGGCTATATGATTACATTACAAGACACTTCATTGCAACAGTAAGAAAATACATTGTAAACAATTCAGTTGAAATAATAAGTTCATGTTCATATATGTAATGCTTTCAAATATACTTATAAATTGTGTCCATCCAAATACTATGATTCAGTGTATGTATATGTGATGGAGAAATTACCAGATTTATTGTGACCATCCTAATTCTCTATGCACACCAAAACTGCAACTGATTGAGCTGAGGATCAAGACCTGAGAATGAACCACAAATCTGTTTTTCTTGTCTCTGACTTGCTACCACTGTCTAATGCTCCATATGTACTTCCAAAGTAGCTGACTAATGAAGCAATGAATGCGCTAAACACTGGTCGATGACAGCTTTTAAATGCTGCCACATCTTCTGTTCATGTTTCTTCATCAAAATAACCGCAAGGGATGAGGCAGTGCAATGTAACATGTTTTATCAGTTGTCTCCTTTGTTTTTCCACAGATTAGTCCTGAATGTAAATATTTGCAAACAACAGTGAAATTTACAATTGGGACAGAGTCGTTTTCCTTGACAGGCAAAACTTTGATTGATGCTGGCTTTACAAAAGTTATGCCTTGGCAGGCCATTGGTGCTGATGAGAAATTACCACAGTTCAATAAAGGAGATAAATGTGCTATAAAAGAGGTGATGACAAAAACCTAAATATGTGCTATAAAATTAATGTTTATGTATCACTTTTTGCTTTCAATCGCTTGTGCTGTGGTATTGATATGACAGTAACAAAGCAATATGCACATGAGAATTTATACAATAACTTTCTAGAACATGAACCTGGTCTTTATTTATTATTAGCCTCCATCAAGTACAACCTTGAATGTGTGTTTGTGCATGGAAGGTACTAGGGAAGGAGAGAGGACGGGTTTTAATCAGACTGCAAAATAGACAGCAGTATACATGCGCAGAACGATTGACATAGGTCATAACATCATAGGGCAAGGCATGCCACTCAAAACAAAATACTTGTTAGGTTAGTTATTTTCCAGTGCCAGTAAATGAACTGCTCCATTCCTGTAGTAAACAAACAAAAACACGCCCTGTTGTTTCAAGAAGTGTTTGAATGGTCTAAGTGGGGCTTTGTACACTTTCAGATAAGCTCAATCATTACATGTGCGATGTAGTTTACCGGTAGTTATGCCTTTTTGTTTCCAGTCAATTAATCACAATTAAATACGCAGTGTGTGTGTGAAATATGGTTCTAGGACCCTGGTAGAATCATAGATAAAATATTATTTCACAAGGATCTGTGATTTGGTCATGTTGTGTGACTTTGGTGTCTATCAGATTTTGCATTTTTAGGTTCATATATCCAAGAAGTCAGATAAAATAATCTAAATTTGTTTCATTTGTCCTAATAATAACAATGTACAAATTCTACATATCCTTATCTTTGCGTATTGTAAATGCCATTATATTAGTAGTAGTTAATATGTGTACAAGACAAACCCCAAGTCAGTCTGAACATTGGCTTCCCTCAGCACAACTAACACTCTTTCAATAAAAATGATAGAGTGCGCTTTTTCAACTGCAGTAGAAATTAGCAGGTATTCAATATCTGATGTACAAAGCGGTTTCTTTTCATTACACCATTCAGCTATATGACTGAGTAGTTTAATTATTATGTACTGACTGCTAAAACTTTCCTACCTAATGAATTAGAAGCTTGAATCAAACCAAAGTAACTGAAATTCAAATATTTCCTTTTTTTATCAGGTTAAATTAACAGAAAGACAGACTACACCACCAGATTACTTGACAGAAAGTGAACTGATAACTCTAATGGAGAAGCATGGTATCGGCACAGATGCTAGCATTCCAGTCCATATTAATAACATATGCCAGAGAAATTATGTATCAGTTGGTTCTGGAAGACGACTGATTCCAACCACGCTTGGTATTGTCTTAGTACATGGTTATCAAAAGGCGAGTACAACTCATGATAATTTTAATCATCAGTGACAAATCGTCATGAACTTCCCAGGTTCGGATAAATCATTTACTGGTATAATTACAGTGAGAAAGTCAAAATAAATTGATCAGGAAAACTGTTATCTTCCTATCAGTCTCAAGTGCAGCATTGCAATATTCCTGGGATCATTGTCACCGGTTTTTGTTATGAACTTTAACTGTTATATTGAAAGTGCCATTGTGCTCAAATTTAAAATGATTTTCATCAAATGATAATTTACTGTGTTAAAATATAGAACACGCATATGATTCAATAATTTACCATTTCATACATCATGCAATTATTATCAGTTCATTTTTAATCCAAGGTCACAAATGCCATTTGAAAATGGTTGTGTTCAGAAGCCTTGGCTTATTGGGATTGAAAGTGACAAAGTCAAAACAAACACCGCTTGTCCTAGGAATATCACAATGCTGCAAGGGAGATGGAGATTTTCTTGATCAGTTTATTACAGCTCCTGCTGTAAGAAAGGAGTTGCAATGACATTTGTATAATCTTGTCTCTCAAGTTATCAAATTGTGTAAATTTCTAGCAATGAAAATAGACAAAATGCATTGCATATACCGTACTCGACCGCATAGACACCCACGCTAAGCGCCCCATCCCCCACTTTTGGGATGTTTCTAATTTCGGGTTCATGTTCAGCTAACCGCTCATCCTCTTCAAATTGCCCTTAATTTGACTGTCTAATCATAAAACTCGGTCTTTAAACATTGTTTAACTTTTCCGAATACTGGTAATATGATACAGCGTGGATATCGACCGCTGTGAATCTGTTGTGAATGCATAGAAAACGGTAATTGTTGGTAAACTACGCTTCAACAATGACCTGTTAACAAAAGTATATATCGGTACTTCATGCCATATTCAGTTTACCTATCAAAAATTGCTAGTTACCAGTTTTTAAAAAAAATCATGCTGTTTATTTGCCGAAATCAATGATAACCTGTACTGCGACATTGATTATTTCACTTTTGCATCGCATTACCAGAAAGTCTTCGAGAATTTCCAAAAGATTGCATTGGTGCAACACAGCATTCTGATTGGTTAATAACAGAGTTGACCCATTAGGCCAAAGGCCATTGTTGTAGGTCAAATAATGCTAGAAAACATCATGGCAGAAAGTGGTTTTGATGGAGAGTTTGTGTATGATCCAACACCATCGACAATGAAAATAATGAACTAAAATTTCCATTTGCTCTCTTTTCCCCGAGTGGTGCTCTGGTAAGCCCCCACCCTTAAATATTCACAGTTTTTTAGTTGAGGACACTGGGTGCTAATCCGAACGAGTACAGTATATTTGAAAACAAATCAATATAATAGAGTACTGTAGTAATGTTTAATTAGCCACCCTACCACCCCCAAATCAAGGAGACAAAGGATGTTTTCTTGCTGTCAACATTAGAAAAAATCATTTTTAATTATACCCAAAATGGCAGAATGTCTGAGTGTTTCTTACAGCAAAATTATTGTCTGAGATGCAAAACTTCAAGGTCAATACCGTACAAGAACATAAATTTTGATATTTTGTGTATAACCTTGTTATTAAACAAATGTATATGTCTTTTATGAATGGAAACAAAAACAAATTGAAACAGAGCAGTCTAAAGTAGCCTGCATCAGACTAACGCCTGATAGAATTGTGCATGTCTCATCTGCAAGATCAATACTGTGAATTCGCCTTCTTGCAATGAGTTTCATTTTGTGGTTAGGTGACTGTTTTCATTGGGTGGAAATTTGCCAGCACCTTATCACACATTATGTCAATAAACAATAAACTCTCCTGTGAATGGTTACTCTTTGATGGCTGTCACTATCTGACGCTCCTGCAATTTGATTGGTACTGACAACAAATCGATGAGGAAAGTGAAAAACTATATCGTTCTGTCAGGCATGTGTTGGGTTTGGAGCATCGCAGAGGGCGTAACTCACGCGACCTTGCCAGGCTACAGTTTAAATTTGCATTTATACAGTTTTGGGCAGGGGGGGATTGGCACGAGAGGGCGCCATCTGATCTGAATGGAACGTTTCAACGTCAGTCGTCCGTAGCCCATCGTCAAGCAACAACGTCCCGTTTACGAACAGATAAAATAATTTCAGCCA